TAATTTCAAAATTAAATATGAAAGTCTAATAAAATATAAGAGTCAAACTTGACCTACTCCACCAAAATGACACGTGAAAATTTAAATAAAAAATTTATTTACTCTTTTCACGTATCAGAGCTCAATCGCTACACTACTATTTTATGAGTTGAAGAGTACACTCAATCCTTTTTACGGCTCATAGTAAATTATTATAAATGTTAGAATTTTGTAAAGATCACACTAAAACTCTTATGAAGAGTAGATTTATAGATCTGAGCACAACTACATCTTTACAATATAATAAAAATATTTCTCAATATAAAATAAATATAAATAAAATTATAGAGATAACAACGTGCGAGATTAAAGAGAATGAAAGTGAAGAATTAAAAATTAATTTAAAAAATAAACAAATAAAAATTAATAATAACGTATATAATAATAATAATAATAATAATAATAATGTATTATTAACGGAAACACTTTTTCAAAATTTCGTTTTTTTTATTATAGTAATATATGTAACAAAAACAGTTTTGAATTCTTTTAAATATTTTTAAAAATAATATAATACATATAATAATAATAATAATAATAATAATAATATATATATATATATACATATATATATATATATGTCATATTTTTTAATTATATATAATTATTTTTTGGAGCGGCAATCTCCACTTGCCGGTTGTCCTTTTATATATATATATATATATTAATATTATATATAAGTATTTTTATTTTCTTTATTATTTCAAAACAAATAAAAAAAATTATCTTGTCATCCGACTTTTTATGAGTAATTAGGATCAAACATCTAAATATCAATTAATTAATTAATTTAAAATTAACGACGGACAACTAACTATACATAATAATTTTTTTTATTAATAAAAAAGTAAAATAAATATTTAAATTTCAATTTTTTTTTATTTCTAACACATATTTAATATTTATTAAAACTTTTAAAGAATTGTTCTTACAATTATTTATCCGTGAATTTTTGAAATATTAAACAAATAAAAAATATTTAGTTAACAGAAAATTAAAAATCTATAAAGTCTAAGATCCAACGCAAAATTTAATTCAATCGAAAAATTATATTTTGGATTAAATAATTTATTTATTAGAAAATTTTGCAAAGGGAAGCTTTGGGATTTTCTTAATTTATTTATTTATTTATTGACAGTTTTTTCCGTTATTATTATTTTTTTTTTCATTTTTAAAAAGTATGATTATTTGGAATTTCTTTTTAATGTACTTTTCAAAATATATATAAAAAAAATTGAAGTTTGGTAACTATAAAAAGTAAATTTTAAAATGTGTAGATAAAACAAATAAATTTAAAAGAATTTTAAATTATTTTTTCGAGTAATTTAATCTCTAAAATAGATTTGTATGTGACACCTAAATAATGAGGGGTTCATGAACGACCAAAAACTATATCTGAATGAGAGCGATCTTGAGGAAAGGATAACAAAGAAAAGTTTAAAATAATTGAAAGTTACTACCTATATACTGAATGCAATTTCGTTTTCGGTGACTCAATCATAAGAACTCTAAGATTAAGCATATGATTTTCAAAACAAAAAACCAATAAATTCCGTGATACAAATCCAACAACGAATCATTTGCGTGTATGATTTTCAAATTAAGAAAAGAATTGAGTGACAATAAATATAACTTCAACTTGTATTTAATAATTTTATTAGTACTTTGTAGTTGGTAGTTGAATTACATTAGGTTTGAATTACTGTCTATTAAAAAACATGTAATATTCAAGTTTGAAATCAGAATGGAATACATAAAAAACCTTGTGTTTGAAACCTTTGGGTGTTATGTTTCTTTCAAACCTTGTTCTATGTTTGATGTTAAAATCGATTCATTGTATTAGTCATGATCAAGCTAATTCTGGAATGAGTCATCTTGTGATTTAAGAGTGACCATCATAGATTCGAAGTTCGATTTAAGAACTATTAATCTTCTAACAATCTCTTGGTTGGAATCAATTAGTTAAGTTAGTTTTATTCGTGAAAGTTCGCAAGAATACTAAATGGACCTCTAGCTTTGCAAAATTCAGCATTTTTGGCGCTTATCATTTGGTATCAGAGTATTTGGTCGACGTTTTTTGACCGAGTCTAAAGGTGAAATATCTTTACTTCATTAAGTTACTCTATTTGTTAAATTTTACAAAGATATTAGAAAGACCTCTAATTTTGCAAAATCCAACATTGTTATCATTCCACTCCGTTTGAATTCAATAAAAAAAAAATAATAATAATAATATATATATATATATATATATATATATATTTTGGGCAATGTAACAATGAAAATCAATGAATAATATCTCGAGTAACAAAGTTCAAGTTCAACAACCTATAATGATATCGAGAAGTTGAATCGTTTAGGTCTTATTTGATAACCATTTTAGCTTCGTTATCATATAGATTTGGTAACTATTTTTTATTTTTAAATCGTTGAAGCTAGGGGTATTTATGGGTTGTGTTTGGTCGGGTTGAGATATTTTTAAATCCAACTTGACCATGATTTTTTTGAGTTGTTTGTAAAATTTATTCAAATTTTTATTTTTTTATGTTGAGTAGTAAAACATTTATTTATTTTCAAACATTTAACTAAAATTTACACCTCAATTTCAATATATAATAAAAAAAATTATCTTCCAAATAATTTTGAATTATTTTAAAAAAGGTTTGAAAATAAATAATAAAACTAAATAAAAATAAATCAAATAATTGTATGTTATTTCATATAAATAAATTAATTTTTTTCGAAGCACGTTATCATCAACTTATAATTATGATATTGATAACTATTTTAATTAAAATATTATATAAGTTGAAGATATTATAATATCATTCATATATCAATAATATATTAAAACTCGTTCAAAATCCATTTCAAATGTAACATTTGTGTTTCATATATATATATATATATATATATATATATATAATTATTAAGTTGTTGGAGATTTAAATTGTAAATTAAAAAAGAAAATGGGATTAATAATAGGGTGGAAGGCAACTCTATATGTTGACTTTACAAACTTATATGGTTTTGGATATTGAAAGTTTGGAAGATATTTCCACAATTTTTTTTTTATTTCAAATAGATATTTCCACCATCATTAATATTCAGCAACGTATGGATCCCATTTCACAAAATAATAACGATTATAATAATAATTGTTACTATATTTTAATCTTTTTTTCTATTTGTTGAATAAAAATCTGCTAATTTAGAGAATAATCATGAGTTTATAATCAAGAAATCAACGTATGTAACATCTTCAGAGACTTTTTGGGGAAACGCAAACCCATGATAACTTATGCTCAAAGTAGACAATATCATACGTGGAAAGAACTTATACTCAGAGTGGACAATATCACGGAGATTGGAGATGGGAGATGAGAATTATATTTTCTTATTAAAATTTAATTTCTTTTAAAAATTAGGTTAAATATTATAATTTACTTTTCTTATAAAATATTATTGGATTTACTATGATATTTTACATTTTTAAAGAAGAATTATATTGGAAAATGAAAATTAAAATATATGTAATGGGAAACTAGAACTAATGGTGGGAAATTCTCACCCTCATCTCTCCTAAAATAAATGGAGAATTATTTATTTAAAATCCTCCCTAATTTGAAATTTAATATTAACATCCAAATAAAATATTAATTATGTAAATCAACGTAAAATTAAAAGTAAATAGTTTGTTATTATCAAGCATTTTAAAAATAAAATATAACATATTTGCAATTACTTCATGAAAATATATTTGTAAATCTTAATGTAATTTCAATATCGGAAGGTTCCTGGCCACAGTAATAGTGGCTTTTTGTCATGCCTAAAAAGCCTGCCTTTTCCATTATTAAAGAAGAAAAAAAAGAACTTGGTTTAGTTAAGTAGCTTCCATGTGCTTTACATTCAATCAAAAGCCTAAAAAGGCTAGTATTAGGCAAGTGTTGCCTATGCTATTTCTATCAAATTACCTCTTCTCTCCTTTTACTATTATACTATATATGATTATGATTATGCTACAGTACCCACCCCACTAATCGTCTTGTTGTCCATTCTTAGAACATTAAAAGAATGCTTCGTTCACATTTAGAATGTGTAAAAGCTCGCATAGTTACAAAGTCTTTGTTTGATTTGAATATGGATTTTTCTGTTTTCGACTATAGACTCACTAAGTTTTCTTGAGATAGGAGATTTGAATATCTGAATTTTTAGGTTCGAGAGGGTCATGCTTGAATTTCTTGAAGAGCACGAGATGACCTATTCATCAATAGTAAAATATGCTAGAAAGAACTGTTTACTCCCACAAAGAAAAAATAGCAGTCAGTGATGAGTGGATTGATTGTGGTAGTCATTGTAAACTCATTCCATTTTTGGAGGATTCATTCCCTAGTGGATGTCAAAAGAATTTCTCTCAATATCCATATTCTGACTAGTAATATAGCAAACGAGTTAACCCATTCCACTGTGCCAAGATGTGAGGTGCAAGAGGTGATGATCACCCTAAGGTATGTGCGGGAGCCCTTGATGGACACTCCAAGACAAGCCAATGCTCATGAAAACTCGGGTCAGTCCTCCATTCATCCAACCATAGGTGTGGATAATGAGGTCACCTTCACACCCTTCTCCCTTGTCCCTATGTTGTAGGAAGGTCGGGGCGAACCAAACCTACCAACATTCTTATTATAAGAGAAGTTTGGCTTTGAACCATCCCAAAGTCATCGACCAATGAGACCACTCCTTGGTGGGTTTCTTAGTGGGATATGTCCGAACTTCCGTTTATATGCTTAAGAGAATCTTTTTCTAAAAGCATAAAGCTCCCAAAGAAAAGAAAAACATAGGCAAAACTCTTTGGGTTGGTCAATAGACAGTGCCATGCAATTATGCATCTATCACCTACCACTCCCAGCACACCCAACTGAGATTATTTTATAAAAAAGACGGTTACTGAGCTGCCTGGAAAGGGAAATAGGAACACCACCATTGTCTAATTTATTTATCTGCAAGTTGGAACTATGGTAAAGCCATAAAATATTCAGGCTTTCACCTTTCATACAGAAACCTCAAACGATTCCATGGGGAACCAATGACAAAGAAATGGACAATTGGCGTAAAACAAAGGGAAAAACAAAAACTAGAAGGTGTTTGCATCTGTTTATGCATACCGAGTTCCAATTGAAGCATATAGAACAGTAGTGCTAATGGAGGAGTACCAAGGTGCTGCATTATAAAAAATAATGACAACTAACTAAAGCCTTCTTGTCACTAGATTCCTCAAAAGAAAGGTACTTCATGGCTCAGGTTGCATGTTTTCACATTCTTCTCGGATTGATTGGAAAAGGACCGAGGATAGATATCGTTCACCAAAGCTAGGGAATACAACCTGAAAACGTCGTGTTGGGAGTAAGTCGATGGCAGAGAATTAAGCAACTAAAATTGGGAAGAAAAAAAGTAGCAAGGAGATGATGCATAGAACTGAGTTTGCTGTAAATCAAATTACAAGGTATATTTTTGTATAAAGGAGAGTGATGTGCCATTCATTTGGGTGCCATGTCATCAAGGATGACGAGAATAATGGAGACGTCGAGAAACTAAATTGTGAAAAACGATCATTTTCAAACCATAGGCGTTGGATTTGAAACGGTTCTAACTAGAGGGCAGTATCTTATATTTTTCCCCAAATGAGGCTTTCTTATCCTATGTCGACAGAGTTAATATTAGCAAGACAATTGCTGAGATACTTGCGCGGTTTATCCCAAGGTCATATTTCTAAAGCCTTCTTCCCGTAATCAATAGGTGCTACTTCTCACCCATTGGTTGGAAAGAACGAAACATTCTTCATAAGGGTGGGAAACCCTCTCCCTAGCAGACGTATTTTAAAAACCTTGAGGGGAACCCCGAAAGGGAAAACTCAAAGAGGACAATATCTGATAGCAATGTGCTAACAAGAACGTTGGGCCCCGAAGGGGTGTGGATTGGGGGGACCCACATCGTTTGGAGAAGGGAACGAGTGCCAGCGAAAACGCTAGGCCCTAAAGGGGGTGGATTGTGAGATCCCACATCGGTTGGGGAGAGGAACAAAATATTCTTTATAAGGGTATGAAAACCTCTCCTTGGTAGACGCGTTTTAAAAACCTTGAGGGGAAGTCCGAAAGAAAAAACCCAAAAAAGACAATATCTACTAGCAGTGGGCTTGGGACGTTACACTTCTGTAAACTTTTCCTAGCATTGCATACTACCAAACCCTTTTTGGCTCCAACAAGATGCTAAGAGAAGTTCACGAGGCATACTAAATAAAAAAGGAATTTTCCTACATCTTCCTTAATTTGACTGCAAAAGAGAAGAAAATGCGTGATATTTTCTCTCTTATCCAACCAATTTCAAAATTAAGCATCCGGCTTATTTTTCCTCCATAAAAATATTTCGTAACTGAGCATGAGAGGAGGGAAAGCCATTCAAGTTTATTTTAAGAAAATGAATAAATAAGGTGCGTACCGCAATAAGCTTTCCAGCATTCTCAGATCTTTTTCCCACTTTCAATGCAGCAGCTGCTGCTGCTCCAGACGAAATGCCCACCTGATATCAAGTCAATGAGGTACTGTCAGGAAATATATGTACACTTCAGAATATAGCACTTCTCTTTTGTTTTGATATATTGCTTAAGATTGAAATTTTATTTGATAGGAATTGAATTTCAGTGGTCAAAAAGAATAGCCAAATTAAAAACAAGGTATTAACCAGTAAGCCTTCCTGCAACGCCAATTGTTTCGCCGTCTCAATAGCTTCTTCACTGGATATCTGCGTCGATCACAAATAGTCAGAATTATAAGAGGAAAACCTAAGTAAGACTTAAGAGTACGTGATATGTTTTATCCCGCCAACAATATAAGGCATATCCCAGCCAACTAGTTTCCACTGCATAGTGTTTCCTTGAGGAACAATTTCAGTGGAAAAGCTGCAAGAGTGTACATGCATGTCTGTTTGTGGGGGTTGGGTGTCACATCACATTCTTTTGGGATTCACACCGTGACAATACGGCACTTATTCTCCCCCACGAATAAGCCAGCTAATTAAAATTTGGGTTGCCGGTGGCACAAACAACCGATGGTTTAGCCTATACTTCGTTCTTAAAAAATGGATTTAGAAAACAAGATAAGAAAAGGTTTTGAAAAACGTTTTGAAAGCAAATGTCATAAGTTAACCAGCAATAAAGGGCAACAATGAAATTGATAACTTATAACTCAAGGTGGGAAAATTTGACAACTAGTTGTATCCCCTGCCCAGGTTATATGCTATCAATGTCATTGTTGTCCCTTGTTGCTTGCTTATAACATTTGTTTTCTCAAATTGCTTTCAAAACGTTTTCCAACACTTTCTCTGACCCCGTTTTCTAAAACTATTCCTAAGAATGAGGCAAATGCTAAATTATACATTATTTCTACTACTAGCAATCCAAATTTTAATTGGTTGATGATAAGAATCACGGTGTTCCAAATGACCTATTATACGATCCAAGACCAAGAAGATTCAACAAACATTCCTTCTTCATCTACAAAATTGGATCGGTTTGGTTCAACCATCATTTCTAGAATTAGAAGCTGATACAATTGACGAAGGACAATTGAATATTTGCACGGTTGAAGTTGGAAAACTTTGAAATGTCAACAGGGTTTGAACCTTCACGGGTAAAGCCCAATAGATTTCAAATTTGTCTCCTTAGCCACTCAAACATAACGTGTTTGTTGGAAGACTATTATTTTTTTTGTTTTCATTTTGTAATGGCCAAATCGTCTTTTGTAAAGACTACAGGGGATCGGGATTGAATCCCGGCCACAAACGTCTTTTGTCGGAAGACTATAAATACCCACAATATGTTATATAAAAATCAGATTGGTGGATGAATGAAATTGAGATCTCGAATTGAGACGTTTTCCTAGAAACCCGAGCATCAATTTTGCCATTTCTAAGTTTCAAACAATTCTTGTGGTAGAATTGCATCCGAGCCATTCAATCAAGCCTTGATCAAGTTTGATTGTGGAGTGACTCCATTTAGAACAAGGTTCCAAATCTTGCTTCTAGATCTTCGATCGTAAGAAGTAATCTAATTCTAGTCTTATCTCTTGGTTGATCCAAATTTCGTATAAAGAGGTGTTAATTACTTTAATTCAAGGTATGCTATTGTTGGGCAGAGGATTAGGGTTGCCTTACCAAGTTACATCTTTGTGGCCGACTCTAGAATTGATCTTATCTTTCATTTCTGCTATGGTTTATTTTTTCTTTAAATCTGTCCATTTATTTTCTTGTTGTCATTTCCGCCATTATTCATCAACTTTTCACTTTGTTCTCATTTTCTTATTAAAGATCACATTTAGATCTTGGAAAAAAAAAATCTTATCATATTTGTTTTTACAATTGTGATTATAAACGATACTTATCATTTATTTTAGATCATATTTCATGTTTATTTGAAGATCTAAATCTTATACCAAATTGATAAGGCAACCCTCATCCTCAGCCCAACGATCCAAGCTTTTGTTGAAGCAAAAACCCTTGAATCAAAGTAATTAAAACCTCCTTATACGAAATTTGGATCAACCAAGAGATAAGGCTAGAATTAGATTACCTCTTACGATCGAAGATCTAGAAGCAAGATTTGGAACCTTGTTCTAAATTGAGTTACTCCACAATCGAACTTGATCAAGACTTGATTGAATGGCTTGGATGCAATTCTACCACAAGAATTGCTTGAAACTTAGAAATGACAAAATTAATACTCGGGTTTCTAAGGAAAACGTCTCAATTCGAGATCTCAATTTCATTCATCCACCAATCTGATTTTTACCTAACATATTGTGGGTAATAGTCTCCCGACAAAAGACGTTTGTGGCCGGGATTCAATCCCGATCCCCTTTAATCTCCACAAAAGACGAAGTCAATTTTACCATTTGACCATTACAAAATAAAAACGAAAAAAATAATAAAGTCTTCCAACAAACGTTGATATGTTTGAGTGGCTAAGGAGACAAACTTGAAATCTATTGGGCTTCACCCGTGCAAGGTTCAAACCCTATTGTTGACATTTTAAAGTTTTTCAACTTCAACTGTGTGCAAATATTCAATTGTCCTTCGTCAATCGTATCAGCTTCTAATTCTAGAAATGATGGTTGAATCGAGCTGATCCAATTTTATGAATGAAGAATGAATGTTTGTTGAATCTTCTTGGCCTTGGATCGTGTAATAGGTCCAGTTAAAACATTTGAAACACTGTGATTCTTATCAGTTGACTTACTCGAAGATGAGAATAAGTACCGCACAATCGCTTCATAAGTCTGAAATGGTACGATTGTGGCAGTTAAAGAATCAAAGGGTTAATTGAAACTCCTAAAGTGTTTCAAGAGTGCCGATTTAGACAGGGTAGTTGTGTTATCAGTATCAGAGACAATATTGTGGGTTGAGGCCAGACTCCTTCAAACTCAATAGTGTCGTCGGTTGACACGTCATTTAAGGGATTTTTATCCCTCAAAATGCAAAAACAAAACTCATTCGCCAAGAGCTTGGAGATTTGTATGTGGGCAAGAGAATCAAGGGTGTGCCAGATAGGTTGCTTTCCAAAGAGTCATTACCACCATAGGGATAATGGCAATAATTGCAAGCAGAGAAGTCGAGAGTTACTCTGACATGCATAGGTCAAGTGCCAAGTGGGTATTGATGAAGTTCTAAAAGTAGACCATCATGGCTAAAAGAGAGCATAAAGAGAGGGAAGTAACTCAACAGAATTGGTTATTTGCCCTATGAAACTGCTCTGAGAGAAGTGAGCACGTGTATCCATTAAGTCATTTCCCCGTGCATAAGTGGGTGACTTCACAAGAAGTTTTCGAGACCAGGGTTTGCTCATGAAGGAGCACTCGACTAGATATAAAGGACAAGAAAAGAGAAGCGGAAGCAAGACAAGAGTGAAGCATCATTGCAGCGTTTATCACAAGAGGTGGCCAAGTTGAGAGCTGGCAGTAGGAAAGTGCCAACAATTGAGAGGGTTTTGTCAGAGAGCTTTCAGACTTCGCTACCGCATGAGTTGGTGCCATAAAGAGGTAATTTCGTGGTAGGTTTGTGAGCCTCACTCAAGGGGTGGACCAATATGTGTCATTCAAAGAATGTGTATTGGCCAAGGGAACTGTCAAAGTTTTGTCGGGGCAAGTGTCCACAAGCTGACCAAAATGGGATAGAAAGTAAGTTCAAGTAAAGACCAAGAGACGTCAGAACCTTTATCGAGCCTACACACCGAGCCTCGTTGGTCAAGTCCTAAGAACTGGACGGAAGTAGGTTCGTTGGTGGAATAGCTAGCAGATAGTGTGTGGTTGTTTACCTTGCCTATATTGTGAGTGTCAGGCCAATTCTTAAAAATTGGGCGCAAGTAGGTCCGAAGGTGAGATAACTCCTAGGTATTATGTAGTTGTCTTATTCATTCAGAAGCACGATTAATTTCAGCGAGCCAGTGAGGAGTCAACCTAAGTTTGGATCGTCATTGGGACGATGCCGAGATGAAGTGGGGAGAGTGTCACAGTCTGTGCCCTCAAGAAAGTCATCAGTGATGATGACAAGTTTAAGTAGGGGAGAATGTCACAAACATACTATGAATAAAGTAGATTGTGACTATCACTAATCCAAACGGATAAAAGGTGACACACGAGTAGCGCTCATCAGGCCACATGAAGTGTCATGACGCAATTGAGTATGATGGTGCATGATCTAAACCACCAAGAAGAGTGGGAAAAATTGTCAAGCTAAGGTGTGCACCAGAATAAACATGACAATGTAGTTACGTGTTATGGATAAGCTTTAGGTTGGCTAAGGTGTAAGCCAGACAGACGTTCCACGTTGGTGTATAACTCCTCACAAGGTATCAGATCAAATATGTCTTAGATACTATAAGAGAAGGCATGGTGTTGGCTCACCACCTCTCTTGTCTAAGTGCTTAAATCACTAGGTAAGCTCTGGTTGAGCGTATTAAGACTATTTTGACCCAATGAAGGGTCTATACACATCTTGGTGAAGTTTCGAATCAATGTAGAAGAGTGTGAGCCGTGTTGTTGTGAACCTAGATGATGAAAAGAGATGCAAAGTTGCATTTGAAGGACCTTAGCCTAGAGGAGAGACAAGTCAGCTAGAGTCACAAGGGAAGTACACGTACAAGTGATGTGTATGGCAAAATGAAGTTTAGTTTCGCATAAGTTAACTTTGGTAAAGGAAGAAAAAAAACCTCACCTAACGTCCGACAAAGCCACTAAGAAAGAAAAACATATAATGGAGCTCGCGACTATGGCGGGGCTATATGCTCTCTTGGGACCCCTACTCTAATCAAATGACTAAGATGGAGTTTTCCTTAAGGTAGGTCATGATCTGAGTGCAAGTCATGACACTGCATGGTTTGAAAAGTAGGACCGTGAAACTAGGGAGCATCAATTCTCCACTTAGATTAACCTTATGCAAGGTCGTGCATGGCTGACAATGTAAAACTAAATATTGCTTCATGGAACATTTCAATTGTCAAATAGAGATTTGAATGAAGAGAAAAATGCTTGATCGAAGAAAAATGAGCAGGAGACGGACCTCTATGATTTCATCAACTACACCTTCGTCCAAATTCTTTGGTACAAAACCAGCTCCAATGCCCTGAATTTTATGAGGACCTGCGTTTCCATATTAAAGTAATGGACACCTCTGTTTAGGGCTATAAAAAAGTAAAAAACTCATAACTAATAATCAGTAAAATTTATATGGTTGACTTACCAGGCTTTCCTCCAGAAAGTATGTTACTTTCTGTAGGTTCAATACCAATAACCTGTTGAATGAACCAAAGAAGAGCTGTTAAACTTCAATAACTAGGAACAAGTAAAAGAACATTAAAATGAGAAGATGAGCCTATGAGAGAAGAACATAAAAAGGTTATATAGGCTAATTTTCCTTCAAGACCATTTGGGAAGGTCTATCTGACAGCTTACTGTTCAACAAAAAAATTTAATGAAATAAATGTAATGCTACTTAGAAGTAGTTAAATGTCTAAAAAACAATGTTACCTTAATTTTTGGATTTTTCTGTTTCAAGAACCGGCCAACACCAGAAATTGTTCCACCTGTTCCAATTCCCGCAACAAAAATATCCACCTTGCCACTTGTGTCTTCCCATATCTCGGGTCCAGTTGTCTCAAAGTGTACCTGCAAACTCAAGTTCATGTTTCACTAAAAGCTGTCTTTTGCACAAGCAGCAAACCATATCATTCGTGACAACCAAATCCTAGCCTTATTATTAATTTTTTAAGAATGCCATGAAATCAGTCATGTTTGTTGAAAAGCTATTGCACTGTTCTCTATTTTACTCATATTTTCTCTGGTAATGTAATGTCTGGCCTTCAAACCACATCATTCATGTCTCTAATTATATTACTGCATCAAAATGTATATTCCAAAGGTTGAAACAGTTGACGATAACTTGGATGGATCATTTATTAGCTGGGTAATTCTAATGCAAAATAATTGTTCTTTCTGGAAATATTTCATTTGCCACTTCAATTGGACTGCATAAATTTCCGTGTGCAAATATGATTTGGCAACTCAGAAGATCAATTTCAAAATCTGATTAGCATATGTAGAAATAAAAGAAGAATAGAAAGTGCAAAAATTATGTTTTGTAATGCTATGCATTCATGCGTTCAAAAAAACTATTATAATAATTTTACTCATCTAAAATTTATATTTTTCCTCCAATATTTATTTTTGTGTCCATTTTTAACAACTAAATAAATAAATATTCAAACGCTTCAGCTCTAGGGTTCAACAATTATTTGAAAAATTACACCTTTCACATTTATTATGCTAAACAAATAATTTACATGTATGTGATTGTGTCAAAAAGTGTTCAACATGTACCTATTATGCTAGCTATGTGTACAATAATTGTTGGGGAATCAAACTGTCCAATGTGTGTGCATAGGCAAGTTAACCAAACTTGAGTGTCCATGCTTCATAGTAAGCATAGAAGAACGAAATTATGGCCCCATAACTAGTTTACTACTAATATCTTTGTTTGGTCCACAGTGAGTCAACGGAGTGCAAACCAAATAATTAGAAAACTTGATAAAATTTCACTTTGTCTTCAGTTTAAATAATCAGGTAGAACAACGTCTTTCACGTGAGACTTTTGACTTCATACCTTAGGGTTAGCGGAATTGTCAAATTGTTGAAGCATGTAAGAATTAGGTGTCTTTTTTAAAATTTCTTCAGCTTTCTGAACTGCTCCCTTCATGCCTTTAGCTGCATCAGTTAATACAAGTTCGGCTCCAAATGCTTTTAAAAGAACTCTCCTCTCCATACTCATTGATGATGGCATTGTCAATATTAGTTTGTATCCCTTTGAAGCAGCAATAAACGCAAGACCAATTCCTGTGTTTCCACTGGTAGGCTCAACCAAAATACTCTGTAAATAAGCAACAGAATTATGTTATAAAATATTCTGACCAGACAAAATATTTCTGTACTTACATCAACCAGAAATTGGAAATATTTAGGTAAATGTTTCAATTTCTGAAACATGTTAGCGCAAGATTACTATCACGGAAGGTAACAACTAGGAGATCCCATCAGAAAATTTGGTATGCTCCTAAGTTCAATCCATGCTTTCTTGATAATACAAGTACATAAATGCTTCAAATCCGATAAAAAAAAAAAGGAAAAGGAGAAAGAAGAAGTTCAACATAATCATCCCGGGAGGTAGGCAATTATATAAAGAAGATACCATCACGCATCAGCATCTTTGATATCTTACTGTACAAGTTCTCTTTGTTACATGTATCTCAAATGAGCAAGGCAGTTGCTATTTATCAAATAACCATGAGAAGATAAATATTCTTAAGTTTACATGGCACCGCGAGGACATTCAAACAATTCAATCCCTATGCTAAGACGAGATGCTGGAGGATATTGTAGATATAGTTTCAGTTACTATAGTGGTGTAAAATGCGGTCTGAAAACAGGTCAAAAACTACAAATGCAAGTGAAGAAACGGCAACAAAATATATAATTTATTCAACAATTCATTTTTAAACAAACATGAAATGTATTGAAATGTAATTTTCTAGAAGCATGAAATTTACGTCTCTAATATGTTACCTTTCCTGGTGAAATAAGTCCTTTCTGCTCAGCATCAGATATCATACTATAACCTATCCTGAAGACAATTTGAGTACAAATGGTGAGAAGATGCACCAATTCTCTGATAAGTATAGATAGTACAACTCACATGATCATAAAACAACACTTCATGAGATAATCCATTCACATACAAATGAATACGCTAAACTTCTTAATTCATTATATAATTTTTGTTCGGTTCGAGTCAACCCGAGGTTTTTATCCTATGAACCCGAAACCGAACGAGTCAATTTGGGTTCAGGAAAAATAACCCAACCCAACCCGAAATACTAATCCAACCCCAACCCCTAAAATTCGGATTGGGTTGGACCGGGTTGTCAGGTTGGATGTATACCGTCTAGTAGTCATTCTCCTCAATAGTTGGCCAAAGGATATTGCCACTGGCATAACCAGGATAATTGTACAAATACAGTTTGCCATATAATAGTTGAACACTTGACCTCCTCCTGCTTTTTTTCTCACCTGTCCTTAACACTACAACATGGTTCCATTATTTCAAGCTTAGCAGCAATGTTTGCTACAGATCCCTTCACGATATTGTTCAGGTAAACCATGGGTGTCTTACCTATCAGCTGCATCACAATGAAAGAAATAATTCATACAAAGAGATGTAGGGTGAATTTCAATGTATTCAAATAATATGAGATAACCAATTGACCAGATTCCTTTTATTTACTATCTTAAATCCTGAACCACAGTTGTTCCTAAACATTCCAAACACGATTTACTAGGTTGCTGAAGTCCGACTGTTTCATGTTCCCAAAAAACCAGGGTGTAAAAAAAACACTGACCAAGTTGGTTTATCACGTAGCATATTTGCAACGTTTACTGTTCCGCTTAACAGCAATCCACGATGCTTGCTACAACCATTTTATATAATTTAACGAGTACATTTGATTTGAATTAGAAAAAAAAATGGTAAAAAATTATCGAAATGGTACCAAAATCAGCGTAGATGGTGGATGTTATCGTACCATTCTGAAACGATATCCACAATCATTATACCGTATTAATACGAATAAAAAGTTTTGGATTGCTAAAATTTAATACGTTGAGTTTTCAGTATGATGTCAGCCAAGCTAACTGCATAAGCATGAAATTTAATTTAACCAAAGCAATCAAGAAACTAGCATGTCAATGTCAAGGAAAAAGAGAGAGAGGGAGGTCCATTGACCATCATCTTCACCTGAGTTACATCTTTGGCGATGTTGAGGCCGTCAATCTCAGTTTCCGGCTTAGCAGATACCGCCTTGCAAACAACAGAGACAGAAGAGGAAGAGACTGTCCCAAACAAATTGCTCTTCTTCGATTTCAGAGACGGAATGCGTCCAAGAGTCTGGCATCTAGAATTCGGCGAAGAATTCAAAAAGAAGACCTCCGATTTTGCGCCGGAGTTGCAGAGAGGAGAAATCAAGGAATTGATCATAGAAGCGGAAGCCATTGGCCGGAAAGATCTCTCCTCCTTCAATATCCTAGTCTCTATCCACCAAGCAGAAATGTTCGCCTCAAGTTCACAGTGACGGACTTTTCGTCATTTCCTCGAGACTTTATTCCGTGCGTGTGGCTCGTTCCCATATTGGCCATGCCTCCCATTTCTATTTTTGTGAATTTTTTAATTTACATTTCTAGAGATTGGGAGAAAAATATATATATTTCCTTAAAACAAATTTTTATTTTGCAATCTAATTTTATTTTTTTAAAATGATAAACAAAAAACAAAGTGAGTTTCTTTCTACTTTTCGGAAGTTTCATATCTAACGTACAACAAGCAATCCAATTCATGCTAGATAAAGGGTGACGTGTATCGAACACGCAACCTTCTAATCTGGAGTCAAACGCGCTACCATTGCGCCAAGGTTCTCTAATCAATACATCACTCTCGTTTATAAGAATTAACTCGATATCATTGCACCACGGATCCCTAAGCCATGCAAAGAAGGACTTGAACCCAACATGAATCGAACACGCAACCTTCTTATCTGAAGTCAAGCGCGCTACCATTACGTCACAAATCTCTAACCAGCATGTCACTCTAGTTTATTAGAATTAGCTCGATATCATTGCACCACAGATCCCTAAGCCATCCTAGAAAAAGAGTGAAAAGAAGAACTTAAACCCGACGTGAATTGAACACGCAACCTTCTGGTCTAGAGTCAGATGCGCCACCATTACGAATCCCTTATCAATATGTCATTCTAGCTCCAGTGCTACGCGGCCCGTAAATTATGCCCAAGCCGAATATACAATTCCAAAGGTTAAAGATGTCATGCAAGAAAAAGAGTGAAATAAGAACAACTTAAACACAACCTTTTGATCTTGAGTGGCTACCATTGCCTCATCAAAATGTCACTCTAGTTTATAAGAATTAATTCGCTATCATTGCACCACGGATCCCTAAGCCATGCTAGAAAAAGAGTGAAAAAAGAACTTGAACCCAACGTGAATCGAATACACAACCTTCTAATCTAGAGTCAGACGTGCTACCATTGCACCACAAATCCCTTATTGATATGTCACTCTAGTTCCAATGCTATGTGGCCTTTAAATTATACCCAAGCCCAATATACAACACAACTTTCTGATCTAGAATGCGCTACCATTGCACCACCCAATATACAACACAACTTTCTGATCTAGAGTGTGCTACCATTGCACCACGATCCCTAATTAGTATGTCACTCTAGTTCCAGTGTTATGCGGTCGGTAAATTATGCCCATGCCCAATATACAATTGTCGAGGTTAAAGATGTCATGTTAGAAAAAGACCGTGAAACCATCTGATCTGGAGTCAGATAACGCCACGGATCCCTAAGCCATGATCGAAAAAGAGTTAAAGAAATGTGAATTGAACACGCAACCTTTTTGATCTAGAGTCAGACGCGCTACCATTGCACCACAGATCCCTTATCAATATGTCACTCTAGTTCCAATGCTATGTGGCCTTTAAATTATACCCAAGCCCAATATACAACACAACTTTCTGATCTAGAATGCGCTACCATTGCACCACCCAATATACAACACAACTTTCTGATCTNCTAAGCCATGATCGAAAAAGAGTTAAAGAAATGTGAATTGAACACGCAACCTTTTTGATCTAGAGTCAGACGCGCTACCATTGCACCACAGATCCCTTATCAATATGTCACTCTAGTTCCAATGCTACGTGGCCTGTAAATTATACCCAAGCCCAATATACAATGCAACTTTCTGATCTAGAGTACGCTACCATTGCACCACGGATCCCTCTTCACTTTCTGATCTAGAGTGTGCTACCATTGCATCACGGATCACTCTTCAGTATGTCACTCTAGTTCCAATGTTACGCAGCCTGTAAATAATGGCCATGCCCAATATACAATTGTGAGGTTAAAGATGTCATGTTAGAAAAAGACTATGCAACCTTCTGATCTAGAGTCAGATAGCGCCACAGATCCCGAAACAGTATGTCACTCTATACAATTGTCGAGGTTAAAGATGTCATGTTAGAAAAAGACCGTGCAACCTTCTGATCTAGAGTCATATAGCGTCACGGATCCCGAAATAGTATGTCACTCTAGTTTATAAGTGATATGGAGTTAGACGCGCTACCATTATGCCACGGATCCCTAAGCCATGATAAAAAAAAGAGTGAAAGAAGAACTTGAACCCACGTGAATCGAACATGCAACCTTATAATCTAGAGTCAGACGCGCTACCATTGCTTCACGGATTCTTTATCAGTATGTCACTCTAGTTCCAGTGCTACGCGGCCTGTAAATTATGTCCATGCCCAATATACAATTGTCGAGGTTAAAGATGTCATGTTAGAAAATACCGTGCAACCTTCTGATCTGGAGTCAGATAGCGTCATAGATCCCGAATCAGTATGTCACTCTAGTTTAAAGTGATCTAGAGTTAGACGCGCTACCGTTGCACCACGGATCCTTAAGCCATGATAGAAAAAGAGTGAAAGAAGAACTGGAACCCGACGTGAATCGAACACGCAACCTACTAATATAGAGTTAGACGCGCTACCATTGCACCACGGATCCTTTATCAGTATGTCACTCTAGTTCTAGTGCTACGCGGCCGGTAAATTATAACCATGCCCAATATACAATTGTCGAGGTTAAAGAAGTCATGTTAGAAAAATATTGTGCAACCTTCTTATCAGGAGTCAGATAGCGCCACGGATCCCTCACCAATAATAGAAAAAGAGTGAAAGAAGAACTTGAACCCGTGAATCGAACACACAAATTTCTAATCTAGAGTCAAACGTGCTACCATTGCGCCATGGATCCCTTATCGATATGCCACTCTAGTTCCAATGCTATGCGGCCTGTAAATTATACCCAAACCCAATATACAATGTATCTTTCTAATCTAAAGTGAGCTACCATTGCACCACAGATCCTTTTTCAGTATATCACTCCTAGTTCCAGTGCCACGCGGCCTGTAAATTATGCCCATTCCCAATATATAATTGTCGAGGTTAAAGATATCATGATAGAAAAAGAGTGAAAGAAGAACTTGAACGTTGCGCCATGGATCCCTAAGCCATGATAGAAAAAGAGTGAAAGAAGAACTGGAACCCGACGCGAATCAAACATGCAACCTTCTGATCTGGAGTCAGACGCACTACCATTACGCCACAGATCCCTTATCAATATGTCACTCTAGTTCTAGTGCTACGCGGACTGTAAATTATTCTCATGCCCAATATACAATTATCGAGGTTAAATATGCTATGTTAGAAAAATATCGTGCAACCTTCTGAAGTCAGATAGCGCCACGTATCCCTAAGCCATAATAGAAAAAGAGTGAAAGAAGAACTTGAAACGACATGAATCGAACACGCAACTTTCTAATCTAGAGTCAGGCATGCTACCATTGTGCACGAATCCCTTATCGATATGTCACTCTAGTTTCAATGCTACGCAGCCCGTAAATTATACCCAAGCCCAATATACAACGCAACTTTCTGATCCAGAGTGTGCTACCATTGCACCACGATCCCTTTTCAGTATGTCACTCTAGTTCCAGTACGCGGCCTGTAAATTATGCCCATGCCCAATATACAATTGTCGAAATTAAAGATGACATGGTAGAAAAAGACCATGCAACCTTCTGATCTAGAGTAAGAAAGCGCCTCGGATTCATAAGCTACGGATTGTAAATTATGCCAAGCCCAATATACAATTGTCGAAGTTAAAGATGACATGTTAGAAAAAGACCGTGCCTTCTGATCTGGAGTCAGATAGTGCCACGGATCCATAAGCCATGATAGAAAAAGAGTGAAAGAAGAACTTGAACCCGACGTGAATCGAACACGCAACCTACTCATCTGGAGTCAGACGCGCTACCATTGCGCCACGGATCCCTTATCAATATGTTGCTCTAGTTCTAGTGTGACGTGGCCTGTAAATTATAACCATGCCCAATATACAATTGTCGAGGTTAAAGAAGTCATGTTAGAAAAATATCGTGCAACCTTCTAATCTGGAGTCAGATAGCGCCACGGATCCCTAACCAATAATAGAAAAAGAGTGAAAGAAGAACTTGAACTCGATATGAATCAAACACGCAACTTTCTGATCTGAAATCAAACATGCTACCATTGCACCATGGATCCCTTATCGATATGTCACTCTAGTTCCAATGCTACGTGGCCTGTAAATTATACCCAAGCCCAATATACAACGTAGCTTTCTGATCTAAAGTGTGCTACCATTGCACCACGAATCCCTTTTCAGTATGTCACTTTAGTTCCAGTGCTACGCGGCCTGTAAATTATGTCCATGCCCAATATACAATTGTCGAGGTTAAAGATGTCATATTAGAAAAAGACCGTGCAACCTTCTAATTTAGAGTCAGATAGCGCCACGGATCCCAAATCAGTATGTCACTTTAGTTTATAAGTGATCTGGAGTTAGACGCGCTACCGTTGCGCCACGGATCCCTAAGCCATGATAGACAAAGAGTGAAAGAAGAACTTGAACCCGACGCGAATCGAAAATGTAACCTTCTGATCTGGAGACAGACGTGCTACCATTACGCCACAGATCCCTTATCAATAATCGAAAATGCAACCTTCTAATCTGGAGTCAGACGCGCTACCATTACGCCACAAATCCCTTATCAATATGTCACTCTAGTTCTAGTGCTACGCGGCCTATAAATTATTCTCATGCCCAATATACAATTGTCGAGGTTAAAGATGTCATGTTAGAAAAATAACGAAGTCAGATAGCGCCGTAAATCCCTAAGCCATAATAGAAGAAAAAGAGTGAAAGAAGAACTTGAACCCGACGTGAATCGAACACGCACCCTTCTGATCTGGAGTCAGACGCGCTACCATTGCACCACAGATCCTATTAGTATGTCACTCTAGTTCTTGTGCTACGCGACCTGTAAATCATAACCATGCCCAATATACAATTGTCGAGGTTAAAGAAGTCATGTTAGAAAAATACCGTGTAACCTTCTTATCAGGAGTCAGATAGCGCCACGGATCCCTAAGCCATAATAGAAAACGAGTGAAAGAAGAACTTGAACTCG